CAGTTAATATGTAGCAGTAGTGAGAAAATCTTACTTCTCCGGATTTCAGAATTTTAGGAGGTGGTATCCGATAGTTTCTTTTTATAAAGGGAGTTCTTGTGGCTTTTTAAGTTTGACTTTCTAGGATTGGAGGAGGGGGTTGCTAATATACTTGAAGAGTGGGGTAATTTTTGGGGATATGTAAAGCTTTGTTGATTCTTTAGATCTTGAGCACATTATAAAGATCTTACCAGAGATATATAATGAACTCATCTATTCATTTTCCATAACTTTGGAGAGAGACTGGAGAAGACTGGTTGAGTGGATCCTGGAATGACTGAAACCTTTGTGAAACCATAAACGCTCTCCTCCTAGCGAGGTCAAAAGCGGTCTTTTAGGAAATGGAAAGGGGCAACAAATGAGGCTTTAAAGACTGGTAGTAGAGAGAACTAAAACTAGTATATTAGTAATTGCTTCCTAGAGGTCTCCATGTGTTTTGTACTTCATGTTTTTTTCCTTAAGAGATAAGTTAAGATGTCTCTGAAGGAGATGGTAATAACTGAGAATAGCTTTTCTGCAAATGGGTAAAAGCTAAACAAAAGGCAAAATAGAGTAACTACTGTATGAATTAACGTAATTCAATCTAGAGGAGGTTGAAGGTGGGATCCAATTAGAATATGGATCTCTTAAGAGTTATATTTGAACAACAGCTTGTTAGTAAATCTGTGTGACATTCATCTGCCCTGCCTTTTTTAACCATGTGTGTAGAGTAGTTCTCTGTCTGATGGTTGGACCATGACAGCAGCAAACTGGTAGCATCGATTCTGCAATGAAGGGATCATTTTTCATTTACTGTACAACTTTCATATATAACTGAGTGTTGTAGGATGGTTTAAACCAGGGGTCGCCAACCTTTTGGACCTCAGGGACCACCAAACTCATAATTTTAAATTCTGCAGACCAGAGACCCTGGGAAAATCCCCCAAAAAGTCTGCAGGAAAATTCCCTTCCCTGTTTTCCTACCGATCAATCATTCTTTATTTGGGATCGCAGGATACCATCTCCAGCTCCGTTCTCAGGGGGGGAGAGAGAGAGACTTTTGGGTTCATGCAAGGAAAGCAGCAGAAGCAGCAGAAGTCTTCCTTTCTCCGCCCCAAACTCTGACAGAAATGAGTCTTTGTGAGACTTGTCACGCCGGTGCAGCCTCTTGGAATAGGAGGCCTTGCAAAGTCCCAAAGACTCATTTCTGGTGGAGTTTGGGGGAGAGAAAGAAAGACTTTTGCTGCTTTCCTTGTGTGCAGCCAAAAGCAGAAGAAGAAAGAAGGGGCAAGAAGCAGCCCGGTGGCCAGGCAAGGCAAGTGGGGTATGTGGGGCAAGTTCCCCCCCCTCCACCTTTTCCCCCCTCTCCTTACTACCTCATGTTGTTCACAATGCAAGCGACACAAGCCTTGTGTTCCCGCGGGCCACGTGGGTGGCGCAGCCTGGATTAATTGCTTTGGGGGTGACATTTCTCTGTGGACCACCAAAATTTTCTCATGGACCACCAGTGGTCCCCTGCCCACTGGTTAGTGACCACTGGACTAGAAGAACTCCAAGGTCCCTTCCAACTCTGTTATTCTGTTATCTGTACCCATGATGCCGCAGTTCTTGGTCTCTGCCTACATCCTCACCAGTGGTGGGATTCAAAAAATTTTACTACTGGTTTTGTGGGCATGACTTGGTTTGCATGGCAGGGGAAGAATACTGTAAAATCTCAAGTCAGAGGTGTTATTTGCCAGTTCTCTGAACTACTCAAAATTTCTGGTACCAGTTCTCCAGAACTGGTCAGAACCTGCTGAATACCATCTCTGATCCTCACAGAACTCAGTGGGACTTACCTCTGAGTAATCCTCTATGGGGAGGAGAGAGAGAGAGAGAGAGAGAGAAGCAGCAGAAGCAGCAAAAGTCTTTCTTTCTCTGCCCCAAATTCCGCCAGATATGAGTCTTTGCTGATGCAGCCTCTTGGAGCAGGATGCCTTGCAGGGTCCCAAAGACTCATTTCTGGTGGAGTTTGGGGGAGAGAAAGAAAGATTTTTGCTGCTTTCCTTGTGTGCAGCCAAAAGCAGAAGAAGAAAGAAGCGGAAAGAAGCAGCTTGGTGGCCAAGCGAGGCGCGTGGGGCAAGTTCCCCCCCTCCGTCCTTTTCCGCCTCCCTTTACTACCTTGTGTTGTTCACAATGCAAGCAATGCAAGCCTTGTGTTCTCACGGACCATGTGGGTGGTGCAGCCTTGTATTCCCACGCAGCCTGGAATAATTGCTTTGGGGGTGTTTTGGGGTTGACATTTCTCTGCAGACCACCAAAATTTTCTCGCAGACCACCAGTGGTCCCCGGTCCACTGGTTGGAGACCACTGGTTTAAACACTGTACAAAGTTTGGTGACTTGTTTTTCCTTGTTGGAGGAACCCAAAACCCATTCCATAACACTAAAACAGATTGCAAAAATAGGCAGAGAATAAGAGAGTGTGTACATTAGTCATCTCACTTCTGCCAGCCAGTACATGTTATTACATTTCAAATTGTGTCATTATGTTGTCAAAAACAGGGAAGGTAAATTAACACATATTGTAGTCCCGTATCCATTAATCTATTGGTAAGCCTTCTTGAGCAGAACAGGGCTTAATTTCTGAATCAGCATGGATAAGATGGACAGCTACTCTTGACAATCTATTCAGTGAAAGTGTATGTAGAACTCTGAGCTGCAGATAAATCTTGTTTTCTATTTTTCAGTCTTTTTTTAAATTATAGATGCAAATACATTCTGCTTGTGACAGCAGGGATTTTTCTTCTTTTTATTCATATAGCTTAAGACTAAAATCTGTAAAACTGAATATTTCTGAGTAACTGAAACATAATAATTGCAAGCTTTGGGGGTTCCTGTGATAATAATTAAAAACTTCCCTGAGTGTGTGATTTTGACTATTCAGGCCATTCTTGTACCAGGTTTCAAGCTATTTTCCTACTAGTCACTTGTAATCTCATCAAACTATCAACCAGCCCTTGTTGAAATAATAGAAAGCATGCCCTTGCTGTTATTTTGGGCAATGATAAATGGATGACTCTAGGACAGTATTTCTTAAAATGTGATACAAGTAACCTTGAGGATCCCCCAAGACCATTTCAGGGGTCTTTGAAATCAAAATTATTTGTAAGATATTAAAGATATTTACAAACTTTTAAATTAACATCACTCCTCATTATTTTAATTTATTAAAAATAAGGCTTTCATAAAAAGTATTTTATTTATGTTAATATAGAACGGGCTTAATATTATTTTTACATGATTCAATAAATATTCTATGACTGTGTCAATTGTTAATATGATAAATAGTGACCAATTTAACCCACACAAGCAAAAGCTCTTTTAAAATCCTCTATAATTTTTTTTAAGTGGGCAGGGATCCTAAGAGCAAAATATTTTTTTAAAAATACTCTTTTAGATGATGCTATAAATTGTACTGGGAAAATGCCTTATCTGAAGTGAAATATAGACCGTTCAACACATTGCAGTTGCCAGTGCAACTCTTAAGAAAATAGGAAGCTGTCTTTTATTGAGTTAAATCATTGGTCCATATCACTTAGTAATGTTTATCCAATCCTTTCTTGTCTTTAACAGAAACTGGAATTTCTCCTTGACCATTAAGCAACTATTGTCTTGGCAGGCTTGTTGTCCTGGATGCTAGTGAGAGCTTCTTTGTAGCCATGTGATGTAAAAGTTCCAGTTAACCTTGAAGGACACTTTTATACTCAGTGCATTACAACACCCTAACTAGAATAAGATTCAACTGAGATAAAACTGGATGAATGAAAAAAATGAGAAGTTCTTGCTAATTACCAATGTTCACAGATGGTAGCACCAGCTGACTTACCTTGAGTTTCAAGATTAGGCAGAATATAGGTGGGAAACTACCAGGATATCCCAACAATGTAAGCTAGACTGGAAAATTGAAATAAACACACAAAAAGTCAACAGAAAAATATTTCTGCATTGGTAAGAAAAGTGTGGATATGAACATGAAATCGCAAGACGTCAAAGTTGACTTGAAGGAGTATTTGTACTTTCTAAATTGGTAATTAGTACAATACTTGGGATGCGGTGGCTCAGTGGCTAAGATGCTGAGCTTGTCGATCAGAAAGGTCGGCAGTTTGTGGTTCGAATCCCTAGCACCGCGTAACTGAGGGAGCTCCTGTTGCTTGTCTCAGTTTCTGCCAACCTAGCAGTTCGAAAGCATGTAAAAATGCAAGTAGAAAAATAGGGACCACTTTGGTGGGAAGGTAATAGCATTCCAAGCGCCTTCGGCATTTAGTCATGCCAGCCACATGACCACGGAAATGTCTTGGGACAGCGCTGGCTCTTCGGCTTTGTAACGGAGATGAGCACCGCCCCCTAGAGCTGGAAACAACTAGCACATATGTGCAAGGGGAATCTTTACAATACTATGATCAGAATTTAGTATAACAGAATGCTATTCTGTATTGTATTGTTGAATTTATGTGTATTGTATTGTTAAATTCATTAAATTATGAATTTAATTCAACTCATTCCTCCACTGCGAGGAACCCTCCTAGTCTGTCCTACAGACGTTGTGAAGTGAAAGTGTGTTTCACTGACAAAACTTAAATGTAGCAGATGAAGAAATGATATTAGCATTATTTATAAAGACAGCAATCCAGCTGAATAAACTTTGCTTCACTACAGCGTTCCATGTTTCTTTATTTGGATTCCCCAATTTCCCTTAAAAAAAAAAAAACCTTTTAAAAAAAATTCTGAACTGGCTGACCTGAAACATTCCACTGTATTGGTGACTGGTATCAAGTAAATATTTGCTGGACCATAGAAGACATTTGTGGAAACAGCACAATTTTGTTCAGGAAATATTGCAAAGCCAACACATTCCTGGCAAGATGAAGGTGGGGATTAGTTTGTGATGTTCTCACCAGGAAATTTTCTGAGGTACCACCTTCTCTCCTTTTTATTTAAACAGAAATACCAGCAAGGCATACCTCTGCATGTTGGAGTTTGTACACAGCAGTGAAAAGAGAAACTGAACAAACAGTAAATCCAGCATTGTGACTTTCACTGAAAAGAATGTGTTCCTTTTCAAAGTGATCAAGAAGCTACCAGGGAGTTATGTCTGAAGAGGCTGAAAAAATGGAAAAACAGCCTCCTGACCCTCCACCAGACCCACGCTGGAAGTTCCTTGTTGGCTACCTCTGTTTCTACGGCTTCATGGGCCAGATTAGACCTGGGGAGAGTTTCATCACGCCTTACCTGTTGGGATCGGAGAAGAATTTCACAAAGAAAGAGGTGAGGTCATTTGACATATTAGCCACACAAGGGACAGATTAGTTGCAGTGGTCTGAAAAATGCACCGAAGTGTGGAGTGTTGAGTGGTCTTGCAGAAGACCTTCTGAGCAGCAATAGGTTTTGACAAAATGCTAGGAATGTCTCTGTTAAAGTGGAGGGAGGAAAGAGTATGTTGCAACAGTGCATGGAAAGAATGATAAATTCTCATTTTTCCTCCTTTTTATTTGGCTCTTGGATCATGGGCTCATGGAGCATAGAGGGATGATTGGGTTAGGAACAAACAGACCTACATAGATCTTCTAAAGGCCAGAATAAGGGCTGAGATGGGAAGAGAATTCCACAGAGCTAGCTTGCTTCTGAGTTAAATTAGAAAATGTATGGGTACGCTTGCATTCTGCTCCAACATATTAATGCAGTAATGGTAGTTATTAAAACTTACTTTGGAATAATAAAGGAGTGGGATGACCTGCCTTTCCCCCCAGTTAAAATAAAACTGAAAGGAATCTCAGCCTGACCTGCTGTCTGTTGCCCTCATAATCTGATGTGGAGACTTACATTTTAACTTCTGATTCAGCAAATAGTTTGACAATGCAAGCTAGCAAAGTAAATGCCTAATCCGATTGCTTGAGTCAACTTCTATGACTGTTCTTTCCATTCCATTCTTTCCATTCTGGATCCTTCCAGATTAATTGGGCTACAGTTCTCATCATTCTTAGCCACGATGAGTTATGTTTGGAGTTGTGCAGTGCATCTGGAGGACACACTTTGGGAAGGCTGTGCTTCATGATATGATCTTGGTTGTGGTGAAGGTATATGGCACATATTAGTACCCTTAAAAATACCAAAAATAAACCATTTTCCTCCTCTTTTGTGGTTATTTTGTCCTTTTCCTTTACCATTTTCTTGCCTGTTTCTCTTTTTTGTAGAAGGGACTCCATGATTATTCTGTAGCAGCTCTGCCTCATTTAATACTTTCTGCCAATTACAGGTGATCTACAATTACAGGTGATCTCCTAAATTTAGTGAAACCAATTAACAATTTCTCCAGCTTGCTTGGAGCTCCTTCATCCCATTCCAAACTGTGATGTTGACTCTGTTGATGAGCTGATGGTAGGCTAAATTTTGAGTATCACACTGTCACCTTTATCAAATGAATGATTATTCCCAGCTGATTCCATGGATTGAGTAAAATCAAGCTGATCAAAGACTGCATTTAACATTTACCAAGGTTGCTGAAATGAGGACCCAGATTGTTGGGGGCAATATGTTGACAATGTAAACCACTTAGAGAGGGCTGTAAAGCACTGTAAAGTCTTAAATATGAAACCTCTGTTTTTTGTAGTGCTGTATATCATAAAAGAGCCGAGGTGGCGCAGTGGTTAGAGTGCAGTACTGCAGGCTACTTCTGCTGACTGCCGGCTGTCTGCAATTTGGCAGTTCAAATCTCACCAGGCTCAAGGTTGGCTCAGCCTTCCATCCTTCTGAGTTCAGTAAAATGAGGACTCAAATTGTTGGGGGCAATATGCTGACTCTGTAAACTGCTTAGAGAGGGCTGTAAAAGCACTATAAAGCGGTACATAAGTCTAAGTGCTATTGCTATTCCTAATGAGATACTGATTTTTGATGATGAGATACTGATTTTTGATACAGTAACATACTGCACTGTTCCACTTATTTTTAAGTAGAAAGGTGGATATAACTATTTTTATAGAAATATAAATATATCTATGGTAAAAATGATGATGAGGTCCCAGGGATTTTTTTAAAAAAAAATAAACATTCTAAATACAGATTAATATTTATTTCCAGGCTATTTTCTTAAGAATCCATTGACCAATCTCTCAACTAGCTAATAAACTACTGGTTTGTTTCTTTACAAGAAAAAGAAAAAATTAAAACACTTGTATGCATTTCTCTATTTAGTAGTTTTAAAGAACTGAAAGCTTAGAATGAGGAATTAGCTGCCTTCCCCAAAGGTGGACTTTTGCAATAGCTGTGCAGAGGTGGCTGTGACCTGCTGCTCTGGCGTCATTAAGTTTCTATTTGAACACTTGATCTTCTTTTAGTAATGAGCAAGATCTATTTTCTCTCTGATCCCTTGCTAGGTCTCTCTGGGACATTGGCAGCTCTTGTCGTTTGGGCAAAAAACAATCACACACACAGGCAATCTGTTCCCAAACACTTTGTTCTGCCTGACTGCTGTGCCTTTTGGATGAGGGAACGCTCAGCACCCTAGGTTATCAATTAGTACATGGCAGCTTCTTCACATGCTGAGAGCAGATTTAGATGTGTGTTTGGGGGGGGGGGGGAAAGGAATCACTCCTGATTTATGGAAACCTCTCTTTTTTGTAGTGCTGTGTATCACAAAAGAGCCAAGGTGGCACAGTGGTTAGAGTGCAGTACTGCAGGCTACTTCTGCTAACTGCTGGCTGCCTGCAATTTGGCAGTTTGAATCTCAGCAGGCTCAAGGTTGACTCAGCCATCCATCCTTTGGAGATCGGGAAAATGAGGACCCAGATTGTTGGGGCCAATATGCTGACTCTGTAAATCGCTTAGAGAGGGCTGTAAAAGTACTGTGAGGCGTATGTAAGTCTTAAGTGCTATTGCTATTAATGGGTGGAGAGTTGTGGGGTAGAATTTTCACTTTAATCTGGGCAGCTCTCCATTAAAAACAAAGACATATAAAATCACATTAAAACCCAACCAATTAAAACATTAAAAACAGCCAATAATAAAAGTTACTTAAAATATGAAAACCCAAAGAATAACTGTTCCCTGGAACACAGTATTGCAAGTACTAATTAAATTAATAAACTACAACTTACAACAGTTATTCAGTGACTGTTCAAAGTTAAAATAGCAGTGAGAAATGTGACTTATGACCGTTTTTCACAGTTACAACCTTTGCAGTATCTGCATGATCACATGACCAATATTCAGATGCTTGGCAACTGGTTCATACTTATGACGGTTGCAGGGTCCTAGGGTCATGGGATCCCCAAAGATAATGGGGAAGCCAGATTCACTTAACAACCAGGGTGCTAACTTATAGCAATAATTCACTTAACAATGGTGGCAAGAAAAGTCATAAAATGGGGCAAAACTCACTTAACAACAGAAATGTTGGGCTCAATTGTGGTCGTAAGTCAAGGGCTACCTGTAGTTACCAAAATTATTCTGTAAGAGAAATGGGCTGGTCTGATATTAAAAAGGCATCAGAATGAATGTCTCAATAGGCATACCATAGGAGAAAGCATTTGCAGATGGAATTATCAGAGAAAATTCACAGCTGAATAAGATGCTAAAAGTTGGAAACAGGAATCTCATGAAGGGTAATATATTGTGGGGTGCAGGACTTCATTATTTCTGAGGAATCTAGGTACCACAGTAGCAGAACTATAGCTATTATACTGTATATACTAGCTATTATATATACTAGAACTATAGTTATAAGAACTAATTAGGAATGCAGAAAAAACAATTACTACCAACCTGCCTTCAATTGAGGACCTGTATACTGCACGAGTCAAAAAGAGGGCTGTGAAAATATTTACAGACCCCTCACTTCCTGAACATAAACTGTTTCAACTCCTTCCCTCAAAACGACGCTATAGAGCACTGCACACCAGAACAACTAGATACAAGGACAGTTTTTTCCCCAAATGTCATAACTCTGCTTAACAAACAATTCCCTCAACACTGCCCTAATAATCTTAATAAATAATAATAAAAAGCAATAAATAAATAAATAAACAAACACTGTCCAACTATTTACAAAATCTGCACTACTATTAGTATTAATCTTCTCATCGCTCCTTATCACCCATCCCCTCCCACTTGTGACTATATGACTGTAACTTTGTCGCTTGTATCCTTATGATTTATATTGACTCCTAGTGTGATTTGATTACTTATTGTACTCTATGACTATTATTAAGTGTTGTACCTGATGATTCTTGACTCTTGACAAATGTATCTTTTCTTTTATGTATACTGAGAGTTATTTGCACCAAGACAAATTCCTTGTGTGTCCAATCACATTTGGCCAATAAAGAATTCTATTCTTATTCTATTCTTCTTCTATTCTATTAATGGAGCTGGCGTATTATCTGTATTTTGTCTAACTTTGTGGGAGGCAGTTGGGGAGGGTGCACTTCTCACTAAATTTAAGCCTAAATTCTAGGGTTTATGCTACAGTATTTGCATGTTCCTTACCTCAGCAAATCATGTCACTGATCTTCAGCAGCTGTGGTTCAAAGGGGCTCCAGTCCTGCAAATCAATCAATCCATATGTCAACTGATCCCTGGAGCTCAGGTTGTCCATCCCTGATCTAGAAGTATAGATATAGAGATGGCATCGTATATTCCGCATGAATTCCATTTGTAAACTGTGTTCCCAGCTACTTTTGCTAAAATATCCCAAACTCCTTGACCAGAATAAATTGCTCAAGTTGACAGACATCCTTTGAGGATAGAAGAGAGAGGAATGATGCCAAGTTGTAGTGAACTCATGTTAACAGGGCTGATAATACTTTGAGTTACAGAAAGGAATTATTCATCCTTCCTGAAGTATATTCTTGCATACCATCCTTCCCCCTGGGGTAGGCCAGAAAGTTGAGTTTCAGCTCCCCAAATTTTAAGGAAGCAAGCTTGAAGAGATACCTCTGGGAGATATCAGGCTGGGGAGTACTACGGACTTCTATTTTTCTAAAAATGACAGGATGGTCAGATCTCTTGAATCAAAACCTTTGGCATTCTTGTCATTGAAATTTAATATTCTCTGTGTTTCCATTCTCCTGTCTGTGGGAAATTTAGGGGAGAAGGTTGGTCAGCACAAAATGTAACTCAGTCTGGCCAAAGTTCAGAGTCTCATGCTGATCTGTTGCCATGGCTAAAACACGTCAAATTCCAGTCTAAAGCAACTGTAAGAAACTTAATCAACCTCCTTGGCAAGCAATACGTGTGGATTTCAACCAGAGCGGAGATCTCAGAGTGACTGTTGGAAAAACTAGGGGATGTGTATGTATGTGTGTGTGTGTGTGTGTGTGTGTGTGTGTGTCTAAGACACTAAAATATTGTGAAAAATTCCAGTCTGAAATATCAAAGTAATATTACCAGCCAGCTGGTTTGGTGTAAAGCAGGTTTCAGTTTTCCTATACATTGTGTTTCCATAAATTGGTGGGGGGCGGGGAGAGGGGGTGTTCTTCCAAATAACTATAACATGTGAATGGAGATTTTTTCCTCTCTCCCTTTCAGCCACCATGGTCCTTTCTTGATGAAGGTGCTTTGTCTTCTTTTGTAAGCTACATGCTGTTATTTTATTTCCCATTCTGGACAACTCCATTTCATCCCTAGGAATTTTGATAAAAAATAGTTTGATGAACCAGGACATAATCTAGCTAGGTAACGTTTGATAGTTTTAGTTTGTATTAGTTGTGAATCTGTTTTTCTTTCCTTTCAGTCCTGCCCAATCAGTGATCAATGTATTTCCATTCACCCAGAATTCCATCAAGTATATTGCTGGAGGTTTCTTTCTCTTATGGATACTCCAGGCCCAGCCCTGGTGTCCCTGAGTCAGCTGGTTCTTCGTGTATAGTTTTGTTTCCAGTTTCCCAAACATAGGATGGCTAGTATCTAAAATAAGTCTTGGTGCCTGTTGCTGAAAAAAGAATGTGAAGAAGAAGCATCCAAATTATTAGTAAAAAGAGGACCTAGAATCCTAGATGATTAGAATAGAGGTGAGGTGAGGTGAAAATGCATGTGGCTTCTTCTAGAGTTCTTTATCTCTTTGGTTTACTCACTAGTGTAAATCAGTTGCACTTCGTTTCATTTTCTCTTGCAGGTGACCAATGAAATTACCCCTGTCCTATCGTATTCCTACATGGCAGTATTGGTGCCCATCTTTCTACTCACAGACTATCTGCGGTATAAGCCCATATTGGTGCTGCAGAGCTTGAGTCACATTGCTATCTGGCTGCTGCTGATCTTTGGTACCAGCATCATTGCCATGCAGTTCATGGAATTCTTCTATGGCATCACGATGGCTACGCGGATAGCTTACTCCTCCTACATCTTCAACCTGATCTCTCCATCGTGCTATCAGCGCATGGCCAGTTATTCCCGGTCTTCAGTGCTGATGGGTGTCTTCACCAGTTCCATGGTGGGACAACTCTGTGTCACAGTTGGAGGCACCACCTTCATGACAGTGAATTATATCTCATTGGGCTTCATGTGCTTTGGGCTGGTCTTGACCCTCTTCCTGAAGCGTCCGAAACGCAGCCTCTTCTTCAACAGGAGCAAGAGCTTGTGTAATGGTACCTCGCCCTCAGAACTGGACAAAATGAACCCTGAGGCAGGAGAGCCCATGTGGTATAAGGCTTCTTCCTGGAAAAATCTGCTGTTATTCCGGCTGATAAAGGAGTTGGGGACTATTGTAAGAATGCCGCAGCTGAGACTTTGGTCCCTTTGGTGGATATTCAATTCTGCTGGCTATTATCTGATGCTTTATTATGTGCATATTTTATGGAATGAAATATATCCTGCCAAGGACAACAGAAACGTCTACAATGGGGGAGTGGAAGCAGTTTCTACCCTGCTTGGTATATATGGATATTTCTTTTCCTCTGAAGTGGTGTTTTTTGTATTTATCTTATTGGTCTGCTATGCCCCCAACAAGGACTAATCAGGAGCTCCAGTAATAATGAAGTAGATCAGGGGTGTCAAACTCAAGGCCTGGGGGCCGGATTCGGATTAGATTTGGCCTGCGGGCTGCCCTGAAAACAATGAAGGACCAGCCCACAGGGCCTCTGTCAGCAAAAACGGAGCACTAGAGGGCTGTGCATGCCCCCCCCCCCGAGCTCCGTTTTCACTGGCAGAGGGCCGCAGGAGGCTGTCGCAGCTGAAAACAGAACACAGGTGGATCATGCTCGCCCCTCCCGAGTTCTGTTTTTGATGGCAGAGGGTTAGCAAAACAAACTACTAGTAAAAGTGCATTTGATCACAAGGCAGGGAGGTGTCAAGAAATTCCTCCACTGGAGACAATGGATCCCCCAGCCACCACAGGTGCCCCTGACATGAGTGATGTTGAGCTGACCATGCCCCCCCAGCCATGCCCCCCCAGCCCCCAGAAGGTCAAACACAACCCTGAGGCAGCCCTCAATGAAATCGAGTTTGACACCCCTGAAGTAGACTATCCATTTCCACTGTCCTAAGCAGCTTCATGCAAAGGCAGTCTCTGTTATTCATACTAAGGTCATCGTGGATACTCTATAATTATTTGATTCCCATTCTTGTAGAACTAAGAAATCTACAGCTGTTATTGTAAAAGTCATTTGGGAATGATGATATGACCTGTTAGTCACCTTACATAGAAAGTTGTAAGGAAACATAGCCAAGGTGCTAGGCCCCCAGTGAGCGTGCTTTTGCTTGGTCAAATCTTATTAGGTATGTAACTTCCCCATTGCCAAGTTTGTAAAATGAATGGCAGAACTCACAGGCTCAGTTCATGTCATCTAAGTCAAAAAGATAGGGAAGCATCACTTCCTGCAAGAAGAAAACACCATTGGAAGAAGTGATGAACACCTTATAAGATATTTCCCTGAGGTGATATTTCTTTTTATATTATTTCACTCTGCTGCAATTATAATATCTTCTTAAATTTGCAACTTTATTCCTACACTCCCCACCCCAAATTAATTTACACCATCCTAAAATCCATGTGAGTCTGGGTGCATTCACTTTGATTCATCATATCTCTGGCCTTGGACAAAATCTACTACCTAAATGCTATTCAAAATGAGGCAGCCTCCTAGAATAGCCTATATGTAGTCAATATATGTGTCAGACATAATGAAGGGATGCAGAACAATTAGATTGCTAAGAGTCTCGCATTCCAGTAAACCAGAAAGTTGCCAAATTCTGTTTTGAAGATATTTTTCTCCCCATGGGATACTTGAGGGGGGATATATGTACTTCATCCCTTGGTAGAATACTGCATAAAAAACTAGAGCCCTGTTTAACTGTAAAGGACTTGTCCCCTCTTGACAATCATTTGTGTTTTCCTAGGTGCCATCACTGCTTTTTCTGCTGGCTTTGTGAAGATCCGATGGGCCTTCTGGTCAAAACTGGTGATTGGGGTTGTGACCGGAGTCCAGGCAAGCCTACTGTTGTTGATGAACACAACTGCCAATATTTGGCTGTGCTATGCGGCCTATGTCCTCTTCAGGGGTTCCTACCAGTTTCTTGTGCCTATAGCCATGTGAGTGATGGTGGTGAGAACTGACAGCTAAACTTGCATTAGGTATACTGGTAAAATGGATATATAGAGCTTCTGTCAACCCAGGAAACCAGTTCAGCATTGGTGTGAGAGCTATTGTTCACGTGTCTGTAAAGTTACATGCTTGCACACATAACATGTGCAGAGTGTGTGGAGCGAGATCCAAACACAGTGCAATATTCCAGGATAATGCAGGACTTTTGTAAGGATGTTAAAACTGGGAAATACTGGATCAGGTGTTCTTACTATCCTACCAGTCCAATGGGTTCGTGCACCTAATCTGAAAATAGTTCGCTAATGGTGATGACAAATAAGTTTGCCTTCTAAATATCTTATTTTCCAGGGGTTTTTTTCTAAGAGCCTCTCCCCCTCAAATGTATAGCAGTAGTGTTGCTGTAGCATACTCTTCCCTAGTTTGCTGTCCTCAGATGGGTTGGCTGTAATCCTGCAGAGTTCGTTGGCGTATATAGTATAAATATCAGGAGGTGGATGGAAGAGTCCGTTGTAACATTTTGAGATTTTAAATAAAACTGATAGTAGCAATTGTGGGTGACTGACCCTCATTGGCAAGGAGGTTTCAGCCAATCAGCAGAATCCAGCCAAAAGCTCAGCCATGAAGTGTCTCTTCTTTCTGCTCAGGGTATTTTGTAGTGGCGGAAAGCTAATTTGTTTTCTTTCTCTGACTGAAGCTTCCAGATTGCATCTTCGCTGTCCAAAGAACTCTGCGCTCTGGTGTTTGGTGTCAATACTTTCCTTGCCACAGTTCTCAAAACCATCATCACTATCATCATAACTGATAAGAATGGTCTGGCTCTCTCAGTCCATTCCCAGGTAAGGAAAAGAGCAAGTTACCCTACAGTTATGTTAGCTGCTCTTTGTTCAGTGGAAACTGCCTATCGGGAAGGCTTTGCCTTGCCTGTTGTGGTTGCCCTGACCAACAAGCTTGCGTGGAGATAGATAATTCTTCACAGTGGGACTCTTTTCCATTTAGGTTGGTTGGGCTACTTAAAGCTAAACTAATTCTGAGCTAAGAGGAAGAGCCAATGAACTTATTTCGTTCACTTCCAATTCTCCACGTCATTCCCATTGAGGTGGCAAGATTCCTCTGCCTGTTTCTCTTCTCCCAAGTGTTCAGCAGTCAGGTTGGGTCTGACTGCTGATGGTTAGGTAGGACCAGTGTTTGTGTTCAGGCACTGTAGGTTATGGCTCAAAAATAACAAGGCTTATCGCAGGCGGGGAAATAGAATTTTCAAGAGCTCTCTGGATGGCCACTGTGGACAGTAAGATGCTATACTGAATGGCTCTGTTGAGCTGATCCAATTTCAAGGCCCTTTTACAGGCAGTCCTTGACTTAGAATAGTTGGTTGAGTGACTGTTCAATGCCACGAAGGCACTGAAAAAAGTGACTTACGACCATTCCTCACGCTTAAGACTGTTGCAGCATCACCGTGATCAAAATTCAAATGCTTGGCAACTGGTTCATATTTAGGACGGTTGTCCTAAATCATGTGTATAGTTTTCTGACAAGCAAAGTCAATGGGGAAACCAGATTCACTTAACCAGCGTGTCAATAATAACTGCAATGATTCGCTAAAAAGGTGTAAAATGGGGCAAAACTCCCTTAACAAATGTCTCACTTAAGAGACATTTTGGACTCCACTGTCATGAGTCGAGGAATGCCTGTACTATTATTCATTTAAAGGTCCATTTCTAAAGTTTTTTCAATTCTTAGGTGGATTGAGGCTTTCATATTTTTTGTGTGCATTGAGGTTAATGAAGCCCTGCATTTCTCAAAATACTTGTGCATTTTATTCTCTTCCAGTTCTACGTTTACTTCGGTTACTTCACTGTTCTGACCACACTGTATCTTTTGTCATTTGCGTACATGATGGCAAGGTGCAATGCTTGCAAAACACCCCAAGAAGAGACCACACCAGCCAATGAACTCTGCAGCCCAGTTGAGGAGGAGAACTCGGACAAGGAGGGAAACCCAGAACTGGCTAGTTCCAAAGCCTGAGAAACGCTACCATCTGCGTACGTACATGGAGATGGATTTTCCTGCAAGATCTCCATTGACATGAGACCAGTGCACCTCTCATAACAATCAGCACTTATCAAAGTCAATGCAACCCTATTTTCACAATATTGGATCTCTGCAGAAGCTCAGAGAAAAGCTTGCTTGGTTTCAAATGCAACTTTGGTGTAGTTGACTTTTCTGGCAGCTACAGTTCTCCCCGTTTCTTGAGCCAAGTTATGCTGAAATAATATTTACCAATGTTGCAATTGGGCACTTAATTTTTTGATCATATGAATTTGCTTTTAAACATGTATGTTCTTAGTTCTGTCGTGTAAATTTGCCAATCACCAAGAGCAAGTGAGACTAAGGCACTTTTTAATGTTGATACTGGTTAATATACTGTGATATGACTCATAATAACGTAAGACACATTTTTGTTTTCCCTTTATAGGAAAACAGAGATACTATTTGCATTTGACCCCTGGTGATTGTAAGCTGCCACACTCAGAAAACACATGTCAAAGAATGAAATTACCGGGCTTAAAAAAAAATGCCCTTAAATTCAGGAAAGTACTGACATGGGACCAAAGTGAACCAGGCAATCCAATCTTCTTCATTAGAAAGCAAGAGCTTGCATTTTGATTAATGAATTATGCTCCAGGCCAGGTTTAAGGTTTCAGTGCTCCTCTTTCACAAAACTCAAGCATTTCTTTTCAAGCCATTTTTTAAGTGGAGCTGACTCACATGATCCCTTTAGGATGCCCACTGGAGAAGTACGATTTGAAAGGAAAGTAGGTCAGAACATAAGCAGAGAAATTTCAAGCAGCAGCGTGTATGTATTTCTAAGCTTGTTGGACATGTCTGCAGTTCTACTTTACGATGCTTTTTTTTTAATTTAAAAGACAGCAAGTCTTATGGCTTATGGATCCTCCCCAGATGCTGGTCTCTATGCTTCATAGATAGCTAGAAGCATCTGTTACCAGTTCTTATGCTCCAGGCCAGATTTAAGATTTTAGTAAAGACCCACAGTAAACACCCAGTCAGGAGGATACTTTCCTTTATTCAGTGCCTTTAGAAAACAGTTTATAATACACAACACGCAATTGACAAAGATATAAAGGTCCATAGGCTTTTAAAACTGAATTAAAATGTCACAAAATACAGTAGACAGTAAGAAAACTGACTGTGTGGACTTGCACAAATGAATTTTCCCCACCGCAGTACTAACATTTTATTAGGACAATAAAAACAAAGCTTACGTAGGAATTTAGCACCTTGGTTTTTAACAACCAACTCAAATGAATGGATATGGATCAGCCTGGCTTGAATTTTGGGCACTGTTGATATGGATCAAACATTCCATAGCAGTTAAGTCTACACTCAGAGGAGAAATGCCAAGCTGCTTTGCTGCAACTTGTCCTTACTGTGGCTGTTTAGAAAGGCTGCAAGCAAGGCCAGGAATCCAGCCATGCTTTTATAGGGGAACGAAACACTTAAGACACAACCCCAGCCTGTGCTCCAGAGGTCTCTACCCCTTGAAATATCCATGTGCTTTAATGCTTTGGAATGTGTAACACTGTCCCAGTGTTAGAAGCAGGGGAAGACACAAAGACTGGAGGGGTGGGTTTCTTTTAACTTTGGTTTGAGAGGGGTGGCTAACAGGAGTGGATTTGGACCTCCAGCCTCCACTAGCGTGGGGAGTGGGGGTTGTCAGGATTTGACAACCTGATCTGACATGCTGAAAGCAGCTCCTTGTAGGTGCATTTGGCTTTCTTGTCTAATCCACTGTTACCTGGCAACTGCTTTTTAAAACCAGAGACTGCTCGTGTTATGTGCTCCTTGCTTATTTTGTAGCTGAGATTTGAAGGTGAATGGGAGGGTTGCCCTGGAACCAAGAAGTGGCTGCTATCAGCAGGGCCAGAGAACAAGATTAGCAGGGCTCTGATAACTAACGGGAACTCTGGGGTCCCCAGATTTTGCTGTAACCCAGTTTCTGTGGTAAAAGAATGGCAACTTCCCTGCAAGGCAGAGAAGAAAAATATGTTTAACAATAACAAAACAAAAAAACCTTGATAAAGGAACAAACACAGATTCTTTTTTGTGGCAACTTTTCTCTGATTGTGCTTCCCTCCAAGCCTCTTAAGGAAAATCCTACATCTAAATTACATTTAAGATGGTTCCTTTCAACACTTCTCTTTGAAGAACAAGAAATGGGCAATTAAAGGACATGAGAAGAATGGTGCCTAATAAAGACTAGTGTCTTTCATCACTTTATTCTGACCCTGTTCTTGCAACGGATGTTGTAAACTCTGTAGCAGGAATTGTAAATAGCCTTCGAAGGGAGCAGTATTACTTCCTTCTGTGTCTGAAATTTAAAAAGCAAAAGCAGTTGAGGCAGCTGGCAGGGCCAGCAGAGTTGCCAGGGCAACCTTTTTGGAAAAGGAAGCTTTTGAGGTAATGCAGGGCAGCTGCAGGAAAGCCTGCCTGAGGCCTATACAACTCTTAATTTTGGTCATGAATTTTTCAGCAAGTTCATATTTAGCTCCATGCCCCTCATAGAAGAGCAGATGGTACCCTGCATGGCAAGTTATTGGGATTTAACATGCTCACAATGAGGGCTTCCAAATGCAACACCATTGGCACTTTCCCTGATTGGGGAAGCCTTCTTGTTCTAAGTCAATGCAAATAAATAGATCTTCTGACATCCCACTTGACCTTGGTTTTCTCTTTTAAAGAACCTGTGGACTGTTTGGAAAGGCAAGAGGGAAAGGGAGGTGATCAGGAAAACATGAAATGTTACATACGAGCAGGGAAGAGAGAGAGAGAGAGACAGAATCATTTTGGGAGCTGCACTTGCCTGGATGGAGACTGCCTTGCACACAAATCCTGCTCTGCCTGAGCCCCTCCAGCAAATGTGCTGAGAGGAGACAAGAACAAAAAACACACACACACACAGCATCAGATCTGTGTTGGAAATCATAAGAAGACGCTCTTTGGCTTTCCTGTCCATTTATCTGCTTGGTTGCTATATTATGAAACTGGCTGGACACATTATCCTGATTGATGGTGGAGGGGGAGGAATCCCTTGCCTGTTCCCCACTGCAGAAGGGGGGGCATTTGGACTCCTCGCCTCCACTTGCAATCAGCACATTCAGGGGTTCTATTTCTTGGAAGATGTCATGAAGCTGTTTTCGATGCACAGGACGATAAAGGCGTTTCTGCAGCTGTTGCTCTTCTGTTCAAGCAGCTTGCCTGATGCCAGCGAGGAAGCCTGGCCAGTCACCACGGTGTCATCCGTCCGCCATGTCTCACAGTAGCTCTCTGTCAGTCGCCGTCCCTTGGAATCGGAGCCATGCCACATGTACTTCTGAGGCCTGAAAAATATCTTCACATCAAGGCCATTTCATACACAAAAGCACTATGACTGCCTTCTATGTTGCTGTTTAGCTATAATTGAGTCAACTAGGCTGGGTCAGTAGCAATTGCACTTAAGGTATACATACCACTTCACGGTGCTTTATAGCCCTCCCTAAGCAGTTTACAGAGTGAGCCTAATGCCTCCAACAATCTGGGTTTTCATTTTACCAACCCTGGAAGGATGGAAGGCTGAGTCAACCTTGAGCCAGTCAGGATCGAACTGCTGGCAGTTGGCAGTATTAGTGTACAATACTGCATTCTAACCCCTGCGCCTCCATGGCTCTTAATAGTGCAACTTAATAAGGAATAAATCATAGCTTAAGAGTAGTGGCTAGGTTCATAACAGTGTAACCATCCTATGGCTTAATCTGATGCATGAACCCTGCCCCCTTATTTGGTGGACCATGATTTTGTGTAGGCTTTGCAGTGCCTAATAGTGTCTTAGCTGTTGGGATCACTACTCATGCGCCATAAAGTTAAAGAAAATCTGAGAAAATCTTATTACCTATCCCCAGGGAAAGGGAAAAAAATAGGCTGGGGCCATATAGTGGTTATACACAAAACATCTACTCTGCTCTGAATCAAATTACACAAATAAATGTTGCTAAAGGGCAACATAACACAAAGCAAAGCTTTTTGTCTCATTCCTGCATCTGTTGTCTTAAAAATGCATCACGAGGAGCTGGGAAAGGGGATAGGGTGGAGACATAAACGCTATTGCTTACAAAGGTCAATCAGAAAGGAGACCTTGGATGCCTTTGAAAATACTGTGCCACTCGGCAGGAAGTAGCACAAATGTACAATCTAAGCACATTCCCAAATCTTCACTGGAAACTCAATCTCTCTCCTCAGCCCCAACTTACCATGCAGAGTCTCTCAGGACATCCCTTCCATCAAAGGAGAGGATGCGAACCCCAGTTCTGAATGGAGCTTCAGTGCCTGAGAAGAGGTTCTCCCAGTTATTAAACAACACTTCATCCTGGGAAGAAACAAAATAGAGCAAGGTGTTTGCCTAAGCAGTATTCAAAAGACATTTTCTGTCTAGAAATAATCTTTAGTCTGAGCTTTCCATTTCAAGAATCCACCGAAACAGACTTTCCAATTTGAAGGAACCTGGATAACCTATCTAGAAAATACTCCTGTCTACAACTTTGGGGATATATATATGTCATTTGTTTGTTCATTCATTTGTTCATTTATTTTATAAAGCCACACTTAACCCAAACTCTGGCCAGCATAAAATTAAAGCTAGCATAATAGCTAAAGAAAGAACTTAAGAACAGATTGAAACACAACAGGGAATACTATCTCATTGGGCTCACCATCAATCTAGCCCAGAGCTTGGGAGAAAAGACAGATTTTTAGAGATCATCTGAAGACTTGCTAGGTTGAAGCACTCTAAATCTTGGGGTTGCCAGGAACAGTTTAAGTTTCTACAGATAGTCCTTGACTTACAACCATTCAAAGTTACAACTGCACTGAAGAAAGTGACTTATAACCAATTTTCACATGGCTGGAAATTTTCACATGTATCTATAGTATGGCATTTGCAGTGTCCTGGGGGTTCATGTGACCACCATTTGCAACTTTTCCAGCCAGCTTCCGACCAAGTTAGTGGGGGAAGCCAGATTCGTTTAACAACCACAGTAATTTGCTTAACTGGCAAAAAAAAAGGCCATAAAACGTGACACAACTCATTGCTTTGTTTGAGGGAAATCTGGGGCTCAATTGCGGTCGTAAGTCGAGGACTACCTGCATTAAATTAATTTTTGAATGTTTTTTTGGAAATTAAACATTCAATGTCCAACGTAGAACTTGTTGATCTGGACAAAGGCATTAATATTTTTTTTAAAGGGGGTCAAATGGCATTTAAAGGCCATGACTCAAGTGCCTATCCTAAGTAAAAATTGTTCTTGCAAAGAGAGATATTCTGTAAACAGAGAAGATGTTAGTTTAGTCAATTTTGATTGCTCCAAAATGACAAAAAAGACATTTATATGGTCCTATCTTGCGTTGCTCAGAGCTGAATTTTATTTGCAGTACTACAGGTAGTCCTTGACTTATGATCACAATTGAGCCCAAACTTCCTGTTGCTAAGCGAGACATTTGTTATGTGAGTTTTGCCCCAGTTTACAATTTTTCTTGCCATAGTTTTTAAGAGAGTCATTGCAGTTGTTAAGTTAGTCACACGGTTAAGTGAGTCTGGCTTTCCCATTGACTTTGTTTGTCAAAAGGTTGCAAAATGTGATTACATGATCCCAGGGACACTGCAACCGTCGTCAATGTGAGTCAGTTACCAA